CCAGGGATGGGGTCCGCGGCGGGAGGGGGCGCCTCCCCATCCAGGCTTGGCGCCCGAGTGAGATCACCGCGTTTATTTAAGGAGCCAGCCCTCATCTTTGATAAACTATCGCGCCTCGGCCCTGGTTTACTGCTTCTGTGCTGGGGAGAAGAGAATTATTTATGGCCCCCCTAACTGGGTGTGATATCAGCCATGGCTATTATCGAGGCTAGTTCATCACCATAAAATAAGAAGTGTTCCTCGGGTCAAGGGTCTGCGCCGTGTCTCCTGTGGGTTCAGAGAGATGGGGGGGGAGGGGGGGCTGGGGCTGAGATATACAGCTCACCAAGTATCTAAAGATAAATGGAAAAATGTGAGTGTTTGTGGGTATAATTTAAAGAATTTATAAATATACCGTGTTTAAGCTGTATTATACAATAGACGCTGCAGGGAAGCACGTGTGTTCTATATGTATGCTCACTAATGTTTACACATGCATGTTTACATTCTTACCAAGCCAACGGTATGTAAATACACGTTTCCATTTCTGCCCCACAGCAGGAAAGGTTAACCAGGTAGACAGAGAGAAAAGCAACCCCCGGTGTGGGCAGCCTTTCCTTTGTATCAAAGATCCTTCTTTACCCGTTTAGGGATGGGGAGGGCCTTCCTTCTATTAAGACAGCCTTTGTATTGTATTTTGGTATTTGTGATTGCAAAGCACGGGGCTGAGTCATCTTAATAACATACCCACAGATGCAAATGTATGGAAATCATGCACCACACAGGTTTTTATGTGGAGCCCAGCTCTGGCACGGTGGCCATTCCCCAGTTGGTTTTTAGTGGCTCGGCTACATGCACATATATTATAGTAATTACTTTCTGGGTGCCCTCTGTAAGATGGCAGAAATATGCTCCACATCGCCCCATGTTATGTGTGAGGCATAAAGCCATATTGTAAGATAATCAAAGGCTTCTGAGAAAGGTTTGTGCTGATTAATAAACTGTTTATGGTACTTTGTTTTGGGGGAGATTGTGATAGATATTTTAGAGCCACCCAAATGGAATAGAAAATACCACATTGTTATGGGAGGCCCTTCATCAGCTTGAGAGAGATTGCTGGGGAGTTTCATGATGGCTAAAAGCCTGGAATTAGATGGGGAAACAGAAAGAGAAAGTAGGAGGGGAGGTTTAGGATTTTGAAGAGGGAGAGGCCCAGGACTGGGGGAATTTCAGTAGCAAGTGCAGATTGTTCGGGATCTAGCATTAACTTGTGGTTGTTTATTTTACATATAACAGAATAGCTAAATGATGGAGTGTATTAGTTCTTTAATAATTTATAGAAATACTTTGATGTTGCAGTAATTACATTAAAGGTCACATATCAAAGGTAATTTGGTTGAGCAGCTGTGATGGTTTCTCAGAAGCAATCAATACCACTGTCCGTGGTGCTGATTTCACTAAGGGGCCTGCCAGATTAAAGAAGGCTTATTACCAGGCAGAAAGGCCCAGGGGAAATCAGGAGCACATTGGAGCGACGCGCCAGCCCCCCTTCCACCGATAATTAACACTGTTCCCCATAATCTGTGCTAATCCTTCATACTGGGAGATCCAGTGGCATTTTTCTGAAATCACAAAGACAAGTTGGGTAAGTTTGGAAGAAAGGACAGAAAAAAATGTGAATGTATGTTGGGAGATGGGAGGGGTAAGGAGAGAGTCCAAGAGCAGAGCTAAAACATAGCCTAGAGTCCCTTTGAGGTGCCTGGAATGCTGTCCTTTCTTCAAAGGCTTCACAGGGAGACTCACAGCCTCAAAGACCTCATCACAATTCTCAGGGCTGGCACAGCCCACAGGGGGAGAGACAGGGAGAAAAGACAGGATTGCAGCTCGAACTTCCCAGGGCACATTGTCCCTGCACAAACTCACATGGCGACAAATGAAAAATTAAATGACTAAAAAAATTATGCTTTAAGGTGGAGCCATTTGGATTCCAGAAAACAAAACTGGTGTTATTCTTGTTGGCTGGTTCTCTCTTTTGAGATCAGAGAATGTGTGCCACTAGCAAATGCAGGGACAGGAGCAAGCAAAATACTCTCACCCAACCAAATAATGGGCATTCCAGCTGGGGCTAGGGCAGGGGCATACAGAGACCTTTTCTGGTCTGGGGTGACCACAGTAGATGCTCAGTGAGCTCACTCTATGTCTGACTAAGGAGAAAGAAATTGAAAAAAGAACCTGGAAAACTGGTAACCTCAGCAATTTAGGCACTTTTCCAGACTTCAAAATCCATTAAAGTCAATCCATTAAAACCAGCCCTCCACTTTCTCACTGAGGAGAGGAGGGGAGAAGATAGCACAGACAGCCCGTTCTGTTTCTTTCCCAGCAAGTTACAGAGCTAGCATCCTGTTGACAGCAAGGGAAACAATCCTGTTGTTGTCATCACAGACACACTACCACAACCAAAACAACAACAAAGACAGAACTAGAGGCACCTCTCACATGTGTTCTCATTTGGGGACTGAGAGGGGAGCTGACGTTTCTCTTGAGATACGTGGAAGCTCAGAAACCAGACCACAGTGGCTGTTCTTACAATTCACAGGTCAGTATTCTTGGGAACCAGCCTAACCAAAGTCCCTTGGATGGCTGATGGGTCGTCCCTGGACCAGTGTCACAAATGGATTCTTGCTTTTGAGTTTGGCATGACTTCAGTAGAATGAAATTACTAAACCACAGACCTTCATCAGGGTGCTTTTGACCAGTGTTTTCCGTCAGCATCTAGGCAGAGTGATTCCACTTTTCTCTCTACTCTCTGTCTTTCTCTCTCTCACACTCTTGATCTCACTCTCCAGACCCCCTGCCCCTCTCCAGTCCACCCTCTTCCATTCTCAATGTTTGTTCCACTATTTGTAAGGTACAGCCAACATGGGGCAGTTTCTCAATCCATCAACAAGTATAGGGTGTCCCCAAAAATGTATACACACTTAACAGCTGATAGCTCAATTGATGTTTCTTGTCAGATTTAACCCATTGGAATTAATAATTATTTAAAGTGTGTATACATTTTTGGGACACCCTGTATTTTTTCAGTATGTGTTGGGCACTGTGCTCAGAAACTGGCAGACACGGAGATAAGAAATATGTATCCCTCACTCCTCTTAGATATGCCCAAGTTGCAGACAGAAGCCACGCACACACATCATCATCATCATCATCATCACCATCAATGATACCAGACAGCATGTTGTTATAAAATGGGTGGTGTGGACAATTTCTCAATAGTAACAGCAAATATTTATTAAGCACTTACTATCTGACAGGCATGATGTAAGCCATTACCTCATTTTATCTTCACAACCACCCGATAAGGAAGATATCATGCCTACATGAGGAGACCCAGGTATAGAGAGATTAAACAATTTGCCCAAGATCATGCAATTAATAAATTTCCAAGCCAAGACCAACACCAGGTCTATTACAAAAACCCAAGACACCCATTTCTCTTTTCTAGTGACACCAGTTGCTTTAGAGAGGACACAGATGACTATAGGGTGCAGGAGTTTCTCAAAGGTTTTGTTCAGGATATTGGCAATGTGGAAATAAAGAGTTGGGAGGAAGATGGGTATATCAGATGGGAGCACTGGTCTGAGAACCAACTTAGACACAACACACGCAAGACAGGTCAGGAGCTGTGAGCTGGGCAGGAGATGTCCACTGAGAGCTCCCTGGGGCTGGGTATGCACAGGAAGCCTCTAGGAAGAACTCTATTCCTTAAAATAAGTCCCTACTGCTTAGTCCCAGCTCCTCCTGCCTTTGGGACTTTGTCGGGAGTTGTCTTCCAGGAAGAGCTCACCTGTTTCCAAAGTTAGGGGCGCAGGGCCTCATGGGAGAGACTCTGATTAGAGAAAAGCAGGCAACATGGCCAGCAGTGGCCAGCTCTCTGCTCCTCTGGCAGCAAAGGCTCCTCGCCAGGGCTGCTGAGGGGGAAGAGCTTGGTCCAGTTAGCAAGAGGACTGGAAACAGAGAGAAGAGAGAGCTGGCAGACGAGAGGGGAGGAGAGGGAACTGGCAGGGGGAGAGTGGGAGCTCTATCTGCTTGGTAAACATTAAAGTTCCAATTCACTAGTTAAAGATTGGCTTTTGTGCCCTCCCCTGGCAACCTGAGAATACAGAGCAAACTGGCACACTCCTCTGGGCCATCTCCTGCCCC